GTTTTTCTACTTCGTAATACATGCCGGCATGTAAATTTGACCGTTATAGAAGTTCTTCTACATATTTCAACTTCTTGTATGGCAGCATATGGAAACTTAGGACTGATGAATTTAGAATTCCTCATATTCTTCTCCACTCCAACCAAACAGCAGAAAACAGCACATGAAAGACCAGGACTGTTTATTTATTCAGCCCATAGACGGTCTGAATTTCATTTGAATTATGGTTATTATCTCTTTAACATATCCATTCCGAGGATTTAGGCTCTGAAATGACCCATCTTGTATTAAAAAACTGGATAGCTACAATCTAATAAAGCCTCCTTCAGTTTGGTTAATACAACACTTGGTTAACTAACTGTTTCCTTCAGTTTGGGATCATATTCAAAAGATTATCATATGTTCCGAGAAGAAGAATATATAAAACTGCTTGCAAGGATTTACGTAGATCCTAGTTAAATCTTTGCAAAAATCTTGCAACTAAACAAGCCCTAAAGGTTCGTTTATACAGAAAAATAAGTGTTTCAATGTAGTAGAAAGAATCCAGAACTAGCACTCAAGCTTCCAGCTTCAGGCATTTAAAGGAACTGAGATTTTTGACATTCCATCCACCAGAAAACAAATTACACACAGAGGCAACCAAAGAAATCAAAACAGACTAAAAATTCGACCCCTTCTTTTCTATCAACTCCATGCTCGACATAAAAGCATCCACAAAATCATAGAACCATATCGTCGAGCACAATAAACCAATCCAAAAAACTCAATTCCAGCGCCAAATCAGTCATCTCAAAATGGAATATTGCTCAAACCCTAGTTACTGAACGTTAAATTGGAGAAATGATAAGAGACATAGGGAAGAAGAAAACTAACTTCGATCGAAGAATGGTGTTCGCTCGCCTTCTCGGATCTATCTGTCGACTGAGAAGAAGAAAGCCCGATGCAGGCTTAGGGTTTGCTAGTTACGAAAAAATCAGTTCATACTATTATTCGTTGTTATATTGAGATGTTGCATGTTATTTAGATATTATTTTGTTATAATAATATAATAATATATCAAAAGTATTTGAGTAAGACACAATAACACCTGAAGAACACACAATAATATCTGATAACACGGAAGAAATTTTCTCTTATGTTAAATGGCGGATTTTTTTTTCTGTCACCGTCACGTGACGTGATTTCATTTGGCTCCGCACGTAACTCTACGTGTAGAGTCCTGAAGCAATATTTTTTTGCTAGTTACAGCCTGTTCCAATTAAAAATTTAAGAAATATTTACATACATTGATACACCAACAAATTTTTATCATTCAACATGAATCTCGAGGCATCTCACGAATCTCGATATGATATTTTAAGTAAGAAACATTCAAATCTTAATAAAAAGTCATCAGAGTTCTGATTTCAGCAAACATGCTCTTGACCCAAGAAATACACAACTCTTGTTGCATCTTAATCAGAGCACAATCGATCCCAGAGAGATTTGATCTAACCTCTTTCAAAGGGGTTAACATCACCGAGTTTTTGCTTCGATAAATAACCCTAAATAGGTTAATAGTCCTTGGTGGGCTACACCTGATTCTTTCCACATAGGTTCATAAGTGAGCAATGCTCTAGCAAACAACTTTGGATGAGTTAATAATTCCTCGATGGACTTTTGTGGGATCCTCTCATACATGTTAAATATCACTGAGAAATACTCTAATGCGTAACCTCAGCCAAGTAAATGACCACTGACAATTTATCCCCACGGTAACCTTCTTACATGACATTGAACATCCAACGCATCAAAGCCACTACGATACTTCGCCTAGCACGTCGTTGCCACACACTGTCCCGATGCGTCGCTGCGCTGCAACGTGTCGCCCCGGCAAACCATCACAATGTGTCGCCGAGTCGCAAGTCACCATGACACACGGCCACAACACGTTGTTGCGACTCAACGCATCGCCCCAATGCGTCATCAAGCCGGGACGCATCACTGCCACGCGTCACGTCATCACAACTCACTGATGCAATGCATCGTCACACAGTCACGTGTCGCCGCGATGCACTGCCGCAACACATCGTCACGCTGCGACATATCGTCCCACTCATCGTCACGAAGCAACACGTCACTGCCACGTGTCGTCACATCACAACACGTCTCCGCCACGTATCGTCACATTGCAGCATGTCGCCGCCACGCCTCGTCGCAGCGCAACTCGTCGCTACAATGCGTCGCCCCACCGCTGGACGTCACCGCAAAGCCTCGTCGCGACGCAACACGTCGCTACAATGCGTCCCCCCACCGCAGGACGTCACCGCAACACGTTGCCCACCGTGTTGCACTACTGCAACGCACCGTTGCGTTGCACAACTGCAACAGGTTGCCTTGCAGTGCTGCCGCACCGCCACGTCTCACCGACGCAACGAGTTGCCTCGCAGTGTCGCCACGCCGCCGCGTCGCAGGGGTTGCCCCCGCCGAGCCGCCAAGTTGCTCCGCCTCAACAGGCATCCCCGACTCGCCACCGTGTCATGTTGTCGCAACGGGCCCCGCTGCGCTGCCCCATCGCGTCGCCGCGCTGCCGCAATGTACCACTGCAACGCGTCGCCCCGACGCACCGCCGCACCTCCACTCTCTCCTTCAGGCCCCTATTTATGAGCTCAAAAATAACCTTTGCCAATAAATGCACATTAATATAGAAATCTAAAAAGAAGCGCAAGCATTAAATGCTCATAAATAGTAATGAATAAAAACTTTTCAAATAAAAAAACAAATCTTTTCAATTTTTATTCCTTCTCTTTTGCCCTTTCAAATTCTTTTATAAAATATTATATATTATGTTTTAGGCGGGATTAGAATCCCCCTTCTCCCACATGAAACAAAAGATACTAACCAACTAAGTTGAGTTCAACTTTATATTTATATAAGAATAAAAATTATTCTTAACTAAGTAAGATATACATATTCTTATATATAAATACTCCAGATATTGATATTTTCAGACGATAAAAAATGGTCTCGCTCGAACATAGGGGGGCAACTGAATCTAAGTCAAATCAAGCCCAGATCAAGTCATTAAATCACAATTAGAAAATTTATGAATTTATTTGAAAAGTCAATCTGCTGTCAAATATGATAAGTTTATACTCAAATCGAGCAGCTCGACAAGACGAATCCAACAAACCCAAGATCACTCAATTCTGACATCATGAAGACACTCAAATGTCCATTAAACATCGTATGATCGAGGGAAACTCTCCAGACCCTTGACCACCGTCAACCGCCTTTGACCACCGCCGACCTCCGTCGTCGACCGCCGTCGATCGCCGACGACCACTGCCGATCTCAGACGACCACCGCCGATCGTCGTCGACTACCACCGACCGTCATCAACCTCCACCTACCGTCATCAATCACCACCAACCAGACGTTGTCAGTCGACATTGTAATATGAAAAATATAGTTATCATTTCCCGTCTGTGACACAAGGAATTTTTGTAATCATCAATTAATAGTGGATTTCCGCAATTGGGCTAGACCCGTGGTTTTTCCGTAACGGATTTTCACGTAAAAACTTCTGGAGTCATCATCATTTTTTTCTATTTCATCTGTGTGTGTGTTGAACTTTCGTACAACGCTAAGACGATAATTTGTTAGCGAATTTTCTAACACACATCATACATAACCACTCAATTATTATAATATTTACATATCTACCGCGTAAGTTTCAATTTTGAAAAAAAAAATGGGTGTTAGATATGCATCTATAAACATATGTACAAAAATGTACCGCCTTATCTATATATCGATGTGTGCACTTATGAAAGATTCGGTTGTTATAAAGGTCATCAACGAAATTTGGGTGTTACGTCTGTAAATACAAAAAAACTTGGTGGTATGTGTGTTTTATAACAAAAATAATAGGATAAAATAGTTGACATTTAATATATCTATTTTGTGTAATAAATTTTATTTTCGATCGTCCCAAAAGATGGTATCTATTTTACGTTGGCCATTCATTTTTTAATATATATATCATATATTTTGATAAGTCTAACTTGGTCCCCTAAGGCTCGTATCTTAATTTTAGTTACTTATCAACCAAGCCCACATGAAGAATTGGTGGGACTGAGTCCACCTACTAATATGATCGAATCAACCTAAATCATCTGGGAAGACTGTCATTACTTACAAAGATATATCGCAATTCTTGGTTGAGGCATCGTTTAATACCTGCATTCCAATCTTTTCATCAAGACATCATAGACAGGAGTTGTGTCGTATGGAATGTGAATATATATTTATTTTCTCTCATAAATCAAAGGAGGTAAGAAATGCACATAGGGGCCCTTTTTTTTTTCCACTTTGAAGGAACTCCAAAAGATGTTCACACTCTCATTTTCTCATAAATACAGAGTTTTTAGCAGCTTGTATGAACTCACGAACAATACAAAACCCTACATCCTAAAATGATTCAACATACATGTTTAAATTTTTAAGGCCACTTATTCAAATCAAATCATATATATTTTTTCAATTTATCAATCATCATTCAAAATTCTACATTATAAAATATTGGATTAAATGGAGTGAATTAGTTTTTTTTTATATTTCATCTATTGTTGAAAAAAATATTATGTCCGTTGTCAGAATGGATGTTTCTACATCTGGATGTCTGACACAATATTTTTTTATATGATTGATATTTAGAATAACATACTGAAACAATATTTTCCAATCAAAATATCAAAATAATATTTAAATTTGTTTTTATTTTTTACCACATAAAATATAATTGGAATGAAGATGCAGCCAAAGCCTGAGCACTTTAAGTAAATAAACTAAAGACAAACACTAAGAAAATATTGTACGCACGATTATCAAAGCAAAGTAAACGTTCATGATCTAGAAGTACCCAAAAAATTTCTTGCAACGCATTGCATATGACTCCATTTTTTGTCGGACTCAGATCGGTTCGCTGATTCCTTTGGTCCATTTAATTCTTATATATCCCACTTCTTCCTCTGTCACCGGCAATACGGTCTCACCTCTCGCTCACCAAATCTTCGCGGCGATTAACAGAATTTTCAGTTCTCGGCCTCTTCAAATAGTCGACGGAGGAGGATCGCCATTTATCTGGCGAGCCCCTTCTCCTCCGGCAAGATCTCGATTGGCAAAGCTATCTACCCTAAGCTGGATCCAATTCAGGAGTCCACGCAGCCTCTGAAGCCTCCTACCACTTCCAAGCCAGATCAGGTCCCGGTCGCCGTCGGCCGCCGAGTTGATCCAGTCGCCGGGGGAACTCGACGGAAAGATGAGGCGTGTGAGGCAGGAGTCGGTGGGGGATAAGATCAACCGCTTCCGCAGTGTGGTCGTCGTAGTTTCGATCCCAATTGTTCTCGTTTTGTTCGTCATTTACTTCATGCCGCGGGGCCCCGCGCCACTTCCTGCACGGGACGGTTCTCTAATTGGGCGGAAGGCGGGCCCGAGCGACCGGTATAAGAGCTACGCCGTTATTTTGGATGCGGGGAGCTCGGGGAGTAGGGTTCATGTTTACTGCTTTGATGGGAATCTGGATCTGTTTCCAATTGGGCAGGAGATTGAGCTCTTCGTGCAGGTAAGCGAAGATCCCGGTAACGTATGCTAGCTTTGTGTTATGAATGCCTAAAGTAGGCCTCACGGATTTAGAGTTACGTACGGATATCCTTCAGGACTATTTGTGTGGATCTTGCAATGATAGAATCAACCTATTGCTCATTTTCTTCTTGATTACTTGTGCAATTACCTGAAAGTTCCCCTTTCGTCCAACTCGTCCAGCATCATATAAATGCCTATAGAGTGTTTTCCAGCAGCTATTATCAAGATATATGCTGATGAACATCTGATATTTGGCATTGTGGGATAGGTTGTGCAAGATTTTCAGTCTGTATTTGGAGTTTTGGTTGTTTCAATGTTTCATTTGAAATAGATGTAGGACGACATGTCTGGATTGAGTTGTATTTATTGCCTGGAATAGGAAGCAAACGAGTATGTGGAAGGGATATGAATTGGGAAGGCAGAGAAAAATTAATATTAAAAAAATTATGCGAAAGTGCTTAATTGAATGTAAATGAATGGAAATGAAAGATTCATAGCCAAGAAAATAAGAAGAAAAAGAGTGGATAAGACTAATGTTGATAGCGATGAATTAAAAATGATATTGAAAATAGACAAATGGTACTTGGAGAAGATTTAATACAAAATTAGGAGGAGGTGGATGCATTGGTACCTGGGTCAGGAGAAATTGTATATATGTGATTAGTGATATCAGAGCGATGAAGTAGATCTGTAGAGTTATTTAGAGTGATATTATATGTGTGTGATGGAAACAAGGAAGAAGCACATAGAAGATTAGAAAAAGAATAAGAAGAAATGAAGAGGTGGAGAGAGAGAGAGCGGGAGAGTGTAAGAAGAAGAAAGAGGTTGATAATAGGTACCTGGGTCAGGAGAAATTGTATATATGTATTTCTTTTATTCAATGAATGGTATGTTGCTATTGTGCACTCAAACTTTAGTTAATATAAAGAAAGTAAATCTTGAGTTGCATGCACAATCAAAAGAGCCAACAAAGTAAGTGTATTTCTTATGTGGAAAATATTGAAGTAGAAAAACTATGACTATTGAAATGAATTCCATTGATAGCAAAAAAAAAAGTTATGAAGTATGGCCTTTCACCATAATTAGGGGTGTCAATACAAAGCAAACCCAAGTATGTTTTTTTTATAGATTTCTCATATTTCAATAATGTAAGAAGGTTGGCAACAACAGTCCTTCTCTAGAAAGCATGTGATGTTGCTTGCAAGTGTCACGAAGATTTTGTATCTTATAATTAGTTCATAGAAGCTTTATGAGGGTCTAAGTAACTTCCAGAACTACCAAGTCTTCCAATATTCCAATTGCTATAATGAATTGAATAGAGGTTTATTTATAGATTTTGCAGATGCATTCTAGAGCAAATTCAGATGGTTAAAATTGATAAGTGACTCAGAAATTTTTTTTTTGTGACTAGATAATATCTTGAACTTTTAAAAATTATGATCAAATTGGCGATGCTCTGTGAATTTGAATGTTGGGATGTTACAAAGTCAATGATTAGTAAGTGTAATAGAAATGAAAATACTAAGATGAATATAAGACAAAACTTTGAAGGATAAAGGAATAACATGTATGGAAAGATGAAATGATTGAAAATACACTTATGGTAGTTTTGAAATGTGTAATGAAGGGTAGAAGAGTCACCCATTAAACGAATTGATAAAGTTATATTTATAGCCATTAAAAAAAATAGGTAGAATCAAGGTTTTATTGATATAAAATTTTTAAGTGATTTGCAAAGACTGGGTTTAAGGCCTCAGAAAACACTCAATAAGAATGAATAAAAAATGATAATTTATAATGTCGACCATAAATAAATAATTGGGAGAAAGGCTAATGATGATGACGAGGAGGAGGATAATTCTAGTATTTATATTGAATGTGTTAGCACATTCCATCTAGATATTGATATATGATGATGTAGATTGCAACATCTTATGATGAGAATATACTTTGATAATGTTGCCCTTGCGTTGGCTCACTTGATTATGGGTTGGCTTGAGTATCCAACAATGGTTGCCACATACTCCTCCAATAGGCGTTCTAAATTTACGACCATTTAGATCAGATTGATGGGAATAATTATGTTGATTTGTTGAAAGTAGCATGATTGTTTAATAAAGGAAAACATGCACTATAGATTCATGTGGTTGACGTGTAAAGAGTGCCATGGGTTCTTAATGTGAAACGAGAGTGCGTAGATTGTTCCCTTCTTGCATTGATTGAGATAGGATTTTTGAGCAACAATTTATTTAGTAGTTTTTAATTATTTTATATGTAGTTTTAATATTAATACTTATTGAAGGAATGAACAATGCAAGCTTTCTACACATTTCTTCTTTTTTATGATGTTTATAGCCCAAAAATGGGTATTCTGAAAACCATCAACTATAGATTTTTTTTTTGTATTTTTGTATTGAAATTCTCCTCCTTAAAAACAATTGTTTCCCACTAATGCCTTATTAAGGGAGATCTGTGGAGGTTTAGATTCTTTTTGAATGATTTGCATGACAGAGTTTGCACCAATGTGATCTGATTAGCGTGGTGCCTGCATGAAGATGAACCTTGGTGGTTGGTGTAATGCCTAGTTTTCACCCTTGTAATGCTAATGTTACAATCCAGAGAACACATCGACCTTTAAGAATAGACGGGGGCTAGTGAGTGAGGGAAAGTCGAGCGAGCACTTTCACCCTCGGTTTCAATGAAAGTTGAGAAGGATGAACTCAAATTGATGGGAAGCAAGGGTCGTAGACCGAGTGCTTAGCGGAGCAACTTCATTGTAAGAGGAGATAGAACAAGTTTTGCGCTCGAATTGAGCACACGAGGTGTTCAATTAGGTGAGCAGTTGTATGAGCAGTGAACAATTTTGTTGAAGCCAATAGCGGTGACAGCTACAAGCATGTGATTGTACTGGGGAGAAGTAGATGAAGGCAAAGAGGGGAGGCCTTTTGAGGCGTGTCGCGGAGATTGAAAACAGGGCATCGTAAAGCATCCATAGTGAAGTAAGCCGAACGCGAGTAGGAGAGAAAAATTGCGAGGATTGTTAGCTGCAGTCTCCAGGCTTGATCGAACATGTGAGTGGGAGAAGTAGACTAAAAATCTTGACTATGGCAGGCAAATGAGGGGATCAAATGAGGGAGAAGGTTTTTGTATTCGATTTTGTGTAGGGGGGTGAAGAGCGGGTGAGTCATGTATAATGTTAATTATAATTATTTATTTTCAATCAAATTTTAATCAAGATTTTATTAAATTTAAAATTTTATTTTCTAGTTTTGAGAATTGATTGATCAAATTTAAATATATATAACGGAATTTATAATTAAAATTTAAAATTATAATGAGGATTCGTTAATAAGATTAATTAAAAAATTTATTAAATAAACATTTAGTGAGATAATTCTGCATGTGTGTGCATTTATGAATTGCCAAAATAAATTTAATGTCAAAATTTGATAATAAGATAAATTATAATTCTTTAATAATTGAATCATAAATTATGTCAAATAAGAATGCAGTGATAATCTTATCATGAAATAAAGCATAAATCGATTATTGAGATTTGAATAGATATATGTTAGTATATAATTTCATAAGATTTTATTAGTTCAATATAGATAGTTAGAAAATTAATAATAATATATCTTAAAGAAAAGGTTAGATGAATTAAACAAGTGATTAAATAAGTAAAGGTCAAGCAATGAAAATCTAATTATAAAGGTAATTATTAAAGTATCTACATTATTTTAAGAGTTAATTAAAAAATTATAATTATAAATGACTATAAATTATTTGATTAAACTGACATGAATATTTTATGCATGATTATAGGTGTTCTATTATAGAGAAGATTCAAAACTTAAAAGCTAACAAAATTGTTTAAAAGTGATGCAAATACTCTTCCTTTTAAGTTGTAGCATTTTTTAAATTGTAAACCAATTTCATGAATAGTTACTGATACTTAGTTTATATAATTATAACCATTTATTTTGATTCATCCATTCTTAAATAGTATAAGTCGTCGGCCCCATCCTAAGGATTTAAGGATTCTAATAGGTGTCACTAGTTGCAAGCTTTGTAAAAAAATTTGTTTTTTTTTTTTGAAAAAAGAAGACCTTACATATGATCTAAGGTAGTGATGCAAATAATTTCAAAATAGGTTTTGAAAAATATGATGCATAAAGTAATAAAAATATATAAAATTTTTATAAGTTTTAAATAGATCATAGTAGAAGAAAAAGCCTTAGTGACACCTATTAGACCTTTATAAACTTAGCAGAACATACACTGCTGGTCCATGGTGCGATAGCTAGTATTGCCGACTGAGACGTTCATGCGGGTAATACTAGCTGTCGCGTCGTGATCAGCGAAGGGTCACTCAACTAACGAGCTAGCTTTGTCGTCAAGACGATCAGAGAATGCACATGCAAATGCGACAGATCCAAGGTAATGTGATCGTCCTAGCGGAGTAGGAGCGATCGAGAAAGAGACAAACCTTCACAACTCGTATATGGAAGCATATACTAATAGTGAATGTGCCACCAAAGAGGAATGATGCATGCAAAACAGACAACATAAGTGCGAATGAGCGTGTTGCAGAGGCGGTGACCTGGATGGTGGTTGTGCCATGAAGGCAGTGACCCAAAAGATTGTGTGCTGTGGAGGCAGTGACTTGGAAGGGGTGGGTGTGTCATGGAGGCAGTGAACCGAATGATGGGTGTGTCGTGGGGGCATTGACCCTGAGGGTGGTTGTGCCGTGGAGACATTGACCCGGTGGGATGGGTGTGTCACAGAGGCAATGACCCGGAGGGTGGGTGTGTCGTGGAGACATTAACCTGGAGGGGTTGGTGTGCCATGGAGGCAATGACCCGGAGGGTGGTTGTGTCGTGGAGGCAGCGACCCATAAGACTGTTGTGAAAAAACGATGACAATAAAACAAAAATTAGAACTAGAAATTAACAAAATAGAAAACATAGCGGAACACAC